TTTTACGGTTAAAGTATATGTTTATCATATAAAGTCTAATGTTACAACTAATCGGGGATCCCTTTAACAAATTAAAAGCCTTGTGACAGACAGCAAATATCCACAGATAGGCAAAAAAAAATTTAATTATAATTTATTAGAACAAAATCATTTCATTCATAAACAGAGCAATGGGCTGTTTGTGTGAGTTCACCTGTGGACTCTGAGGAATGTGGTATTGATTGAGGGAAACCTGCTTACAGGATGATTAACAGCGTGACCCGACTGAGCCGTGTGGCTTAAATCTTCCTCCTTTTCAGGAGATTCTGTTAATTACCTCACGATTCATGACCTCCAGAGTGTGTGGGCTGGGATGTTCACTGAGCCTGTTTTAAACTCTGTTTTTCTTCTGATGCTGAAGGCAAAACAGCATAATGAGTTTGCATGTGTGCGCTACATTTCAAGGCCTATTTTTCCAAAAATAAATTACCTTGTAGGGAACCACTGCTGAAAATTGACACCTGTGGGATGAGCATGACGTATTGGAAGGGGCAGGCTGTCAATGTAAACAATGTATCATGGCTAGATTTATGTGTAGAATTGCACCTGAATATTAGTTTTTTATTGGTTGCTTTGGCTTATAAAACACATTCATTGCAGATGTATATGTCTCRTTTGATATTATATTTACTGAGCATTTCTATCTTATTTTTCAATAGCAAACTGAGTTTCAATGATGTACTGACCAAACTTTAACGACAGCATATTCAGCACTACATAACTACTGTTGAGTTGTCCTCGCCCTGAACAATATGGCCACTCTCTTGGATGTGATAGTGCCTCTAGCCAATATATCTCATTAGCCACAACATTGGCACCCTTGCATGCAGGTTTGATCCCAGGTTTTGTAACCTGGGATCAAACCTGCAGCCTCAGGATTTTAACAAATCACGTCACTGAGCTTTCACAGCCTGTTATAATCATGAATATGTGTTTATCTTGCATTATAGTCTGGACCTCTGCAGGGTCTGCACAGAAAAATTCTGGTACCTGAGATGTTGAGATCCCCGAGGTGATGCATCGAATGCCCTCTAGTAAACATTTTGTTGCCCAGTGGCCTAATGGATAAGGTATCAGCCTCCGGAGCTGGGGATTGTGGGTTTAAGTCCCACCTGGGTCGCTAATTAAGTAAAATTGAACACCTGTTTGTGTCATCTTTATTAAATTAGGAAACAAGGTGTTTTGCTGCCTCTTTGTGGTCATAAATTGAAACACACGGTTAAAAAAACATTCCGGTTTTATTTTATTTTTCTTTTTGCACATAAATCACTTTTATTTTTCTTAAATAAATAAAAAGTATCTTCAGCAGTATGTCACCAAATGACAAGAACAACTTCTATGCTCTGCTCATAACTGATATGAGTTTCAATGCGCATGCGCAGTAAAGACATGCTTCAACAGCGCATGCGCAGTAAAGACATGCTTCAACAGCGCATGCGCAGTAAAGACATGCTTCAACAGCGCATGCGCGTTAGGAAGAGAAAACCAAGTAAACATTTTCAGGAGCGACAAACAACAAGAGCGTGACGGAACTATCCGTGGGGTACCAAACTTCACAGCCAACAAGATAAGRTTAATTTGTGCTAACAAAAAATATATATAAATCTAAGAAGTGAAACCTTCAGCTCGTTTACTTTTTTCGAAGTGGCGCTAGTTGTCAGACACGACGCACTTGCTTCCTGTGAAGAACGCAGTGAAGCTATGTGAAGCGGCGGACTTTTCAACGCCGCGGAGCAGGACGAGGACAAACCGCAGCACTCCTCCGGTGTGTTTATATTTATATTCCTAAATGAATCCGTCGWCGGGATGTCTCTGAGTTCGGGCGGCTGGACTCACACTCCCGGCCTCCCAGCGGACCAGCCTTCCGCCGTCCTGCCCAGCAACTCTAATAATAATGACGAGGCCTCGTCGACCCAGTTCGGCTGCCAAACCGTCCTCATGTCGGTTCGGGTTTCGGTGTGCCACTCTGGGATTCGGCCGCTGTGTCTTCCGGGAGCGGGCGATGAGTCACTCCGCCTGCAGCTCAGCATGGACCCGGGGAAATCCGGGGAATTCCGCCTGACTCTGCAGGACACCAGCGGGGCTGGACGGAGTGTGGTGAGTGCGGGCTGGGCTGGATGTCATCGTGGAGGTTCAGATTGAAAGGGAAAACACCTTGTTTACACATAAAACAACTATTTTATCAATAACACGAGGTTCCCCGAAATCTTGCAACAAAAAACTCGCTTAAAAGTTCAATTAAGCCCGAAACAGACCAGAAATCATTTAGCTTTTTATGTCAATATTTAGATCATATTGGCGTAAAACAATAATTCAAATACTTCAAATTAGTATTACATTTTGCTTTGTCAGTGATCCCAGGTTTGCATTAATTTAAAGTTTTCATGAGTGAAGAAAATATCAAGATTATCTAGTTTTGACAGATGCCATACAAAAACTTTTTTAAAAGTTTAAAGGGTTTGGAAGATTTAAAACAAAGTTATAATTGTTCAGAGAACGTTTGTTATAGTTTGCTGCCATATCATGTAAAATTTGTGTGTGATAGTTTTGTAAAGAAAGATTTTATTTTCACGCACCTGTTGTTTACTAAATTTTTAAGATAAATTTTACTGTCAGACGGCCCTGTTTGGTGAAAAGTTAAGTTACTATGAGAAGTGGTATCTACAGTGGGGAGAACAAGTATTTGATACACTGTTGATTTTTCAGGTTTTCCCACTTGCAAAGCTTGTA